GCCAGGCCTCTCATCCGAGCAAACAGTCATAGGGATGGAGCTCGTCCGCGTGTAACTGTCGACGTTCTTTGGAACTCTCGCGCGAGATCGCACCCCCCCCCCCACCCCTCCCCACACAGATGAAAATTTCTTGCATGCTGGTGTTCCGAGTGTGACTGTTGGTAGCACCATTGCTCTTATGCTGTCCGCATGTTGGTCGTATGTATTTGTTTCAAAAGCTTGTTTGGGTTCTCATGTTCTTTCGTATATCTTCGTAGTTTGTATCGACCGTCGTCATTCTATGCTCAATTTCGGTTGGGCACGTTAAAAGTGAGCCCGAGCATGTGCTTGAATGACTTTTATTCAGGAGTCTAGGGGCCGGAGGAGCACATCACGATCGCCATCTTCGTCGGAGGGACGGGGTGGAACCCACACCACAGGGAACCACAGGGTTGAGGGGGATACCACGGGGTGGGGGGGGAGGGGGGGCCTAGAAGCGCTGCACCATATATAAAGCTCTTCCTCTAACAGTAACTCTTTACATGGTTCTTGAACAGTTCATTGGGTGATAACTGAACTGTTAATTGGGTGGTAGTTGAACAGTGAATTGGTGGTAGCTGAACAGTTACCTGGGTGGTAATTGAACAATTAACTGGGTTGTATTTGAACAGTTATTTGGGTGGTAGCTGCGCAATTAATTGGGTGGAATCTCGTGGTAATTGAACAGTTAGATGGGTGATAATTGAACACTTACTTGTGTGGTAGCGAGTGGTACTTGAACAATTAATTTGGGTGTTAGCTAGTGTAATTGAACAACTAGTTGGGCGGTAATTTAACAATTAAACGGGTGGTAGCTAGTGGCAGCTGAACAACTAATCGGGTGGTAACTGAACAGTTACATGAGTTATTTGGGGTGGTAGCTGAGCAGTTAATTGGGTGGTTATTGGTAACCGTATGAACGACGTCAGCATATTATTCGGTAGCTTTGGGCATCAGGTCATAAGGGGACTTAGTAGACGTCTATGATATTTCACACCTTTCGAAACTGTTCAACTACGACACACCTCCCCACAAACATACGCAGTTCCTCTTCCACTTGTCGGTTGAAGCGACTCACGATGTCCACGAGTCTGTCTACATTTTACCCCTCCTCCGCTCGAGCTACTGTAGTTGACGTTGGTGGTGTCGTCGGTAGTCTCGCTCGTCCGTAGCTTCGAGGCTCCGATCCGACACCACTCGTCCGTTGGTCCAGTAGTCCAGCCGATCTGGTTCATATAGCAGCACCAGTCCCCCATGTGTTGTATGTTGAATGTACTCTGCCAACGGCCTTGTCGTCTTCCCCCAACCTTTACCATGTTGCCATGTCTCCGTCTCGTGCAGCGAGGCAAAAGGGGTCCTCCGAGTCGATGTTCCCCGCATGGAGCTGCTGCTGGCAGTGGAGGTGACTGCCACCGCAGCAAGCATCGTCTTGTAGCGAAAATCCCCCTTGTGGCCTTTTGTGCCAGAAGGGTCCTTCCAGGCATGCTTTACAGGTGACCCCCAGCTTCTTGAGTTTCTCCGCCAAGGCCTCTTGTTCTTCACTGGCTTGCAACCTGCTTTGGTCCAGGTCGTTCGTCGTCGCCCCCGGTCTGGGGTGCTTTCTCTGCTCGTCATCGGTGAAGTCGTGGCTCCGGTAGTACAGCTAACCCACCGAGAGTTCGGCATTATGCTCTTTCCCCCTACTGACGTGCCACCTCCCGAAGGAGGGCCGTGGTTAGTGTCGAGAGTGGCTCCCTGTAGGGGGGCCACTTGAGCCAACACGGTTACTAACTCTTTCTTTTCGTTCTTTTCTCTCTTCCACCGGGTCAAGGGAGCTGGTAAGGCTCCCCGGCCTAAGCGTGGGGCACTTGGGTGGGCGTGTGAAAACTACACTTTTCTATCTCTCTTGCTTGCTTGCTTGCTTGCCTGCTTGCTTGCACAGCGTGTGAGGGAATAGGGACGCACGTTCGCTGCCCCTCTGCGCCGAAGCAGTACGCCCAGCGTCCATGTCCGGTTAGTCGGTGCGAAACTACTGTGATCTCTCTCTTCTTCCACTGGGCAAGGGACTAGTTAGTTCCCCCGGCCGCATGGCCCCCCATGTGTTATGGGGCTTTGCGGGGGCTGTGAAAGTTTCAATGTAACATAGAGCGAAAATGGTCGACTTATTTGTTTCTCTCTCTCTCTCTCTACACATAATATTGACTGCATATATGAACTCCCAGCATGAGCATTCTGTCGCCGAGTTGCTCAGGAACTACCTTAAGCTCCTGCGTCGTGGGCACGGTTCGCACGAAGAGAACGGGCTTCGATGTTGCATCGATGTTGTTGAAGCGATTGATGCCTCCAAAGCATGCTGACTTACCAATACTGTCGTTGCCGTCCTCTTTCTGGCTCTTCACGTTGCATCAGCAGCCCGTGTGTGTGCACGTGCAATACGTATGTGTTGCCCAGAAGACTGTTGACAAGATTTCGGGTTTGCCCCCTACAGCTGCAGGATTGCGTGCAGCAACCGGGCTGCGAAATCCAACAAGTATCCCCCACCTAGACTCCTAAACTCCGCTCTCCGACACGTCGCGACTGAGAATGATTCAGAGAAAGTGCGGAAGCTTCAACACGCTGTGACTGTGAAACGAAACAAGTCTTCCATCCAGAACCGTGACCTGTTGTCTGAACTGAGACCACGACGGCGCAGGTATCTCTCGTGCATGCCGGCATCGGTCGGGTCATCATGCCAGAAGGAGTGGTAGTAACTCCTGTACCTCAGCCACCGTCCGAACTGGTAACTTCAGGCTTCAGCGAGGAGCCAAACCCACTGCCTGCCCTACAGCCAGGCACTACCTGCAACCGCGGTACGTTGTCATGCTGACTCCAGGCACTACCTGCCGACACCCCAGCAGTCAGAGCGATACAGTCTCACTGCATTGCTTCCCTTGCTACTGGCCGGTCAACCTTGAAAAAGTAGAAGAGACATGTCCTGCTACACCGGCAGCCTTCTTGGAATTGAATTCGAAGAAGCCTGAGCACTACAATGGCAGCTTGGCAAACGTGATGATGCAGCTGCAGGCTAAGGCACCATTCCAACCAGTGCTCTCGTCCCAGCCATTCCGCAAGAAATGTACCAAACCCTGGCAGAATTTTGAGGCCACTTCAGCGATCTGACACCAACAGAACCAGTTCGACCGGAAATTGGTCTGTGATAGTCTGTGCTCTTGAAAAAGAATCCCGCCTCATGCCGTGTTCGCATCCAGTCAAAGGGCAGTGTCTCAGCACCTCTGCCGATGTTCTTGAAGGAGAGCTTCCTCAGCCACAGATGCAATGCAGCTTCATCACCAGGTGACAGCTTCATGCTTGCCGGAGAACGGGCCACAGAAGCAACCCAACGAAACCAGCATTATCTGCTCCGTCCTCAGCAACCAAGAACGTTGATGCGGCTCCAAGTGCTCATGTAGATGCACGTGCTTTGCCAGTGCATGCGAACTTTTAGGTAACACGCTCGGCATCCACCCGGCTTTCACCGTCCGGCAGCTGGTCCATCATGTCAGATTCCTAACTCTTCGACCGGAGCATAGTTACCATGAGCGTGACTGGGTTGGTGAAATCCTGGGGCTGCTGCCTGCATACCCGGCTCCCACCTTACTTGCAACAGGGCCCCAACAGGACAATGCCTGGGCCTAGAATCTAGAAGTTCGTCCTGATGGCATCAAAGGCGCTTCGCCCTGCTTACCACCTTCACTGTCGTCGCCTCAGGCAGTGGTCCAAGGCCCGCGTCTGACAAACGCATTGAAAGATCCAAGGCGCCATGAGGGGATGACAAAGGCCGCTGGCAAATGCTAGCTGCTAGCAAGCTGTTTGCTGCAACGGAACCACGAGTTGGCCAGTAGCTTTTACTACTATATGCTACTGCCTCCGCGCAAGGGCAGGCCTGTCTGGGCTGCTGAGTGTGCTGGGCTTTCCTCAGTAATCGTTGGCGGAATTGGATGGGGCCGCTCTGGCTCTCAGTTTGTCCATGTACGACCTCACGATCTTGTACCATGGCGCCAAACATCTCCCTCTGTGTTGGTTTGAGCGCTCTTATCCTGCGGACGTCGGCTCGTCCTGGAACGCCAAAAGCCGTGTGAACCTTCTCCCATGCACTTGCGCAAACATAGACCGAACGCCCATCAATTACCCTTGAACTGTCACTCCCTGAGTCGCAGCCCGACTCAAGCTGTTTCGGACTTGCTTCGCATTAATTTCGTGTCTCAGGACCGCAGCCGAAAGACCTCATGTTACAGTCGTCCTTCCAACTCCAACGAAATGTGTCAGGGTCCCCTTGCGAAGAGGAAAGTCGTGGGACTGCGGCGAACGCACGCCTTCCGGAGGCGGAAATGCACAGGACTGTGACGGGAGTACGGTGAGGCCAAAAGCGGCGTGGCTCTGCCGCGACTTCAAAGCCTTAAGTCCACAATACGAGACGCACTGTCACTGTGACGGGAGCACGACGACCCCCACCTCAAAACCTGCAAGGTCATTCGGGGTGAGCAGGAAACCGTCATCTTATACTGAAAATGTCGTCCTGGGCGGACGGGGTTCCGCAGGAGACTGCGGCAAGAACATGATTCTCGAGCAAGCCCTGCAGCGCCCAACAGCCGGAACGTTCGCCGACACAGCTCGGTGCCAGTGATAGTGTTACCACACTGCGAACACTTAATTCAAGACCCAAAACTGTCAATTGATTGGAGTTGAGGGTTCACCTCGTGCAAAGGCCGGGTCAGTTCCAGGTCACATCCGTTCGGCTGTTTTGTCCCGCAAGTGTGCAAGCCCGGCTGCTTTGCCAGACTGCCAAATTGGCGGAAATGACGGGAGGCGTCAAGACATCGATGCAGGCTTGTGGGATGCTATCTGCGAGGCTCGTAATTAGGCGTGACCACTATCAATCTGAGCGCGGAGCTGGCCTGCAAACCCCATTCAGCACTCTGTGGCTCTTGGAGCGAGATGAGTGGAATGGGTGGTGATGTACCTGATACCCATCAAAAAGGCTCTTATCTGCCTTGAAAACTGTAGCACGCAGCCCAGAGGAGCAGGAGGCCAAATTCGTGCAGTGCCTATGAGTGCCGGCCCCTGCTTGGGATGCACGCGAATTCCAGATGCCCACAGCCATAAGAGGCCCAGGACCCGAGCCTAACATTCTGAGATAGGAATGGAACCAAAATAGCCTGTAGCTCGCACTGCGGGCTTGAAGGGAACTGCAGATGTGCTCGCACTGCAACATCGTGGCGTGTCAACGATCTGTGGGAGTCAAGATGAAGCGTTGCAGCTACAGGCCAGGCATGCAGGTGCTCGACAGACTGAATTACGGGGGCTGTTTCAAACGTTGATCCTTTGCTCCCCTTGTCATAGATCATTCCTCGCAGAGTTTAGAACAACCCCCGATTGTTTCCATGCTTTGTCAAGGTCTGAAGAGCCTGTCTTAGACCTCACACTTGCAGAAGGACGGCATGGGCCGCGGTGGAGGTGAACCTAGGATACACGCTTTTGATGTGCAGGTGTTCAAACGGACGTGGAAGCTAGAAAGTAGCCTCTGTATGAGTACTGGGGCTAGCAGCTAGAGCTGGCAGAATCGATTTCAAAGCCCATGATGAGTGCAACAACCCGTGTGAAACCTTGGGCAGGGCCTTGGATTGTGGATCGTGGGCGTCCTGTCTTGATCTGCTCGCAACATGTGTGGCTTGAATATCTCTGCTTCCCTTGCCTCTTCCCCTTTGCCTGCACCCCCCAGGAATTGCAGCCTAAGCCTCACGAGCACCAAAAAGACCACTCTACAAGGTACGGGTGTAGGCTGGCTTAGCTTGGTTTTGGCATTCATGCTGAGCTCAACCACTAGCGTTCCCATTTCGTACTAACGGCCGGTAAGATACTCCTCAAGCCAAGGATGACGTTTATGTTGTCCAATTCAGTCCGCGTCCACTCCTTCAGCTTCTCCTGTCATTCGAAAGTCCGAGGTGTAAGGCTCTGAGACGCGGTCAGCGTATTTCGCTCGCTGGCTCCAATCGTGCCGGTAAGACAACGGGGCTTGGCGCCTCAGGCTCGCATGAGTCAACTATCCATACCGCGCAGCATACTCGTGCCCGTGCGTGGGGCCTCGCAGAACCCCGAGCAACCCTGACAAACAATAGAAGTCAGCTGAAGCGGCATGTGCTGCTGGCAGGAGCTGCTCTAAAAGATCCACGAACCTTGGAGCTTTCCAGATGCATCTGTTGCAGATGTGCTGTACCAGGACTACGGTCAAGCATAAAGGACGTAGTCGAGCTTCTCAGGAAGGCTGGTGTCCATGGCTTCCTGCAAGGATTTGCTCCAGGTGCCGCTCGGATTCGGCCGATTGATATTGGACCACGTCCTCAGTTTCGGGTTCAGTACCTGGAGAGCTCCAATAGTCAACCCACAGGTGCCACCGATTAGCAGGCAAGCGGCTGCATGACCTTCATGAGCTTGCTTACATTTTCGCAGATAATTGCAGAGTGTTTTGGCTCCAAGTCCATCCTTGCAATATATGCCTTGCCTCGGCTGACAGCTGGGTCGAGAACAAATACTGACTGTCAGTGCAGCGATTCACCTTCAACACTGCTTTTCAGAAACGACTGTGATTACTTCCAGGCTTGTTATCACGAAAGTATGCAGCAGGACTGCTTGTACTATTCTATTCGGTTTGTGACTGCGGTTCTGGCTATGATGATGCGACATGATTGATGTGGCTGTACAGTACTGTTTGGAACTATTGGTGCGAGTCTACAAAGCAGCTGCTGCCATTCTGACTCTCAGTCTTCTCTATGGTCGGTTGACTGCCAAGCCTGCTGAGCTACATGTCATCTGCGTAGCCACCTGGAAGACGAGGGCCACTGCATGCCCGTACGCCATGCCTTACTCGCGAAGAGTCCGCGTAGTCTCTTCGAAAGGTCGGCAGCCTGAGTTTCCGGCGGTACCTGCCACCTTCCAGCATGCGTCCGAGCCGCTCCAGGAAGTCCTCAGCTTCTCAGCCATTTCCTTCCTTGTCGCTTTTCATTCGGTATGAAATACGAATGACGGCTGCCAAGCGACGGTGCCTGCGAGCCAGGCATGCAGCGTGGCCTCAAATTGCCGAAGACAAACTCAGCCTACTGGTAGCAAGTGGCAGATTCGGAAGCTGAGATTGCCACAGCGCATGGCTTCGATTGTATTCCCTGCAATGCCAGCAACAGATTTTGCAACCTCAGGTGTGCTTCGCCATGTGGTCCAGCTTGATGCAACAACATGATTCAGGCAGGTCGCACACTGCAAGGCCGATAGATTCCACCTCAAACGGCTTTATTGCACTGCTCTGAGTCTCCTCCTGGTGCCGGGGCAGGGACACAAGAGGTCCTCCTCCTGCAGGCTCGCCTCAGAAATCGGTTGGGAGACCGCTCCCACCAAATGAGAGTAGAGCTGAGCTGCGCGCAAGAAACCTTTGGTAGATTCTGATGACCTGATGACATTGGACAAGCCGGCATTTCAGCAAACCGATTCCAAGCCTTTTCTCCAGCAACCGGATGAGACATACGGTACATTACCGGACCCACTGGGATCCTGAATGGAATTTTCCACCTCGCAAGCTCCGGCCCTCCGGCCTCTGCAAGGCCAGCGGCTCGGTCCAACAGCGCAGCCTAAAAGAACACTCAGAACAGAAGAGATAATAGATCTAATAGTCTAGAGAGCACGTGAAGTATGTGTCGCAATGCGTCGCATGGGCGCTCCCAGACCCCTGGCTTGCAGGGTCTGTCTCGCAGAGGCCCCTGTGCCATGTCGCTATGACTATGACTAGCAAGGCTTCAGTCGAGATTGAGTGTCTGTTGTTACAGTATGCCGCGGGTCCGCCTGCAAGATGCTGCGAGAGCCGGGTCGGACCTCGAGCAAACAGAAGGATGAGTTTGCCGCGCCGATTCTTCCGGGCCTACATTGACTATGGTCTGCAGCGGCTCTCCAAAACCATGATCTTACCAAATTGCTCTCTGCAGCAGAGCTGCATGTGCGCAGCCTATGTCTGCCTTGCTCGTGTCCTTGTTCAGGGCTCGAAGCGAAACCTACATAACTTACTTACAGGCCGCAAAGCGATCGCAACAGTGCAGCACAGATGCATATGCCAGCACCTGAGCAGCCCGTGCACGGCATGGAAACGCAGCAGTGATCAAAAGCACCGAGGTGCCCATGTCAGAGCCCGCAAAGCGTAGCGCATTCCCTCGGGGCGCCAGTCCTGGAAGGCTGTGGAAAGCAGTGGCCTAACTAACGGAACCAAACGGAAGCGACTACAGGCAGCGGCCTGGCTGAGGAAGTACCGTTTGATCCCCTCCTCTTCCTGGTTGCCCAGAGTGCCGTGACGCTCAACCACCTGAGCGAACATCAAAAGACCTTGAATTTCTCTGCACGGCTCCATGACCTCCAGAAGGACGGAGCTGAAGGACTGAAGGAGAGATGCTGCCTCGGATGAGCGAACTGGCGAAGGCTTCTCGAGCCGCGTAGGCTTTAAGTCCCCAGACATATATGGAGCGCTGCGTCTACTCTTAACAAATTTGACAACCCCGAGGCAGACGCCACACCGTGCTTCGCCAGGTGATGCTTGTGTTGCACAACACCTTACATTCAGAGGTCTGGAAATTGTGGCTGCTCCCTGCGATGATGCATTTCGCGCGTCTTTCTGCCAGAACGCAAGGACTTGCAACTCCCGCTGGTGTTTCGATCTTGTTCAGGATTTCCAGAATGTGCCTTAGAGGCCGGCTCAGTATGATCTTACGGCATGGACAGATGCATCCGAAGCACACACAGCCTGCAAACATCCAGTTGCTCCGAGATGCTTGAGCAAGCCGACCTGTCGTTCCAGGCTACCTGACACCAGTACCAAGACGCGACTTGCGCCTCTGTGCTCTGCTGCTCTCCTACAGTGTACGTATGCCAACTCTCTCAGCAAAGTTCGCAGCTCTTCACTGGCAAACTGTAGCCGTCACTCCACGGCTTGTCGCAGGTGGTCCTGCCTGCGCCACCGGTTCGGCACAGGTGGATGTAGTCCTTCGTCTTCACATGCTCTGAAAGGATCGCTGTTCTGAAGCCCCTTTCAGCCTGTCCTTCATCGCTTCCCGCAAGCCCAGCGTTGCGCTTATCGCAGACGTCTCCGAAGCAAAGCTTCGCAGGGATCCTATTAGTTCAGGTGCTTAGAAGACAGGCTCCTGTTAGCCGCTTTATGTGGCAGTGTCCTGTCGGGCAAGAGCTCCGCAGCTGCGCTGCTTCGACCATCTGCAGGCCCGGTAGAAGACTTGACAGGAAGTTCTCTGCACAGAAGTTGCCCGTCCGCCTTTACATCAACCACCCGTCCGGACCAACGCTCATTCACTGAAGTGCTGTGGTCAAGGGCGGCATCCCAGAAGGCCTTGAGGCAGTTTTCGACACTCTCAGTCGGTGCAGGGCAAGGGAAGGGCCACAGAGTGTGCTGTCCTTGAGCAGGGAAGCCCGCTCTTTTCGCAGACCTATGATCGCAAAGTCCAGGATAGCACTGTTGGATGACTGCCTGGCAAGGTCACGTGCAGCCCGTGTCATATGCTTCATTAGACTCATTAGACTGCGTCAGATGCCTCAAGCTTGTCATGTGTAACTGCCCCGAGAAGCCCGTCTTCTGCTCCAGCTCCGCCTGAAGGAGAGAAGGCCCTTGAAGGAAGCAACGGTGGCATCAACAAACCAGAAGGCCTTCAGCTGTTGCTGCTCCCGTTCACCCAGTGGCGCTACCTCGGCAGCTGGCAGGCAGCTTGCAATTTGTGGCTTCTGTTTGCATGCGTGGTGCTGAATTTGATGGAGGCAACAGCTGGAGCTGAATTGCGACTGCCAGCTCTGGCTGGGCGTCCTTGTTGCAGTTCTCGAAGCTTCCTTTCCACTCCCTAGACACGCAATGTGCTCCAATGTCCTCGTCGAGTGCCGGTGCAACTACCTGAGATCATTCCACCACCATCCAGCAGGAATCGAGCATCAACATGGGGTTGCCAAACTCATAAGACCCGTCGAGTTACCGCTACGGGCTTCCAGCTTCCAAGGTGTTGACACCTGATTGGAAAGCCCGGGGCGTCGTGAGAGAATGCAATGCAAAAACGCTCAGGCATTTGCGAGGTGCTGCACACGCCGTTCTGATGCAAAGATGCAAGCTTGGCGCCCAAGGCCTCCGGTCACATGATGCACGGATGGCACACGCACGAGAAGCATCAACGGTACTCGCAAAGGTAACAGCTAGCAGTGGTGTGGCGGTGTTGTTGGTGGCGCGTTGGTACTGGTAGGAGGAGAGCGCGGCAGGGGTTGTATTCAAGGCAGCAATTGCAACGCCCCCCACCTCTATCTCTGCAACAGCTGGTGCGTGCATCAGTGTCCGGATCCTGAGCTCTCGAGTGCCCATGCGTGGGGGCGTGGCCTAGCCTCTATCTCTGCTCATCTATCTTGGGCGTCCATTCACCCCTCTCCAAAATCAAAGACTTGTGTTTCTGTGCGAGATGTTGCAAAACGCAGTCATGCACACATGCAAACATGGGGACCCTGTACGTTTTGCTCGAGCGGCTGGAGCTCTACCTCGCACCAGGTGGCCTTCATCTCAACACTTGCGATTTCCATCTGGCAGGGCTCAAGTCCAAGAAGGGCAGCCTCAAGCAGGTCAGGACAGCGAGGCATCGACCGCTCAAAGCACACCCTTCGGAGATAAGCCCCGTCTTCTCTTTCGTTTCTTTCTTCCCCAGCCCGGCAACGACCCGTAGATGTTTGCCGTCGAATCATGTCGCCCGCGTCTTTGATATCAGTATGACATCTGTGCGCGATGGTTTGGGATGGTTCGGGTTTGCCCGAGATACGATGGTCGCGTGCCGTCCCGGTGTTTAGCAGTCTGGCAGCCATGCTGATCTTCACCTCAGAGGTCGTAGGCTTTGCAGGTGGTGAGGTACAGCCAGCCGAGTGGAAGCGCACGCCGACCGTAAAGGTCCTCACAGGACTGGCTCAGCACCTTAACATCCTTATAACGTGTCCCTTGCAACTCTGGATCTTTCTTTCTAAACACTTGGTGCAAAAGTGCTCCTCGGTGTTGAGCTGAACTTTGTTGCATCGGTGCTGCGGACAGCCTCACAGGAACTGCACGACTGGGATGCCTTTCGCGCGGCCGGAATTATGGAATTGCAGGAGCCTCACATGGCGCACAGTGGGTCTGTTCTCCAATGCTTCTTGACTCCTCACAGCAATCAGATCAAGACAGAACATCGAAGCGGACCCAACCATACAGTCCTGGTGCCGTATTAAATCGAGCTGGATGCCGTGGTCAAATTCGAAGTGACGGTAGAACTTCAATTTCTTAGGCAGGCAGACTCATGTTAGAACGTGACAATGAGCGACATGGAGTCATGCGCAGAAGGGAGGCGCACTCAAACTCAACTGCCGCCACAACACCTTCTTCAAGGTTGGCATGCGGTGCAGATGAAGCAGGCAGCCGTGGAGCACAGCCCTGACTTGGTCGGCAAGTGCCACCTCAGGCCGTAGTTGAGCTCTCATGACTCTCTCATGGAAGTCAGCGTCAGTTTTCGTCCAAAGCACATATCGCCCGTTCGGCACAAAAGAGCTGTCCTTGGTGTGGAGGCCGTGGAGTTGCACACTCCGACCTCTCCCTCATGCTTTGAGCACAACTAGGGCTAGGGTGTTCGCCTACCTCGTTGCATACGTGATTATAGTCTAGTCCTGCCCTTGTCAGGCCTGCGCTTGGGATGCGATTCAGCCCTCTGCTGGCGTCCCGCCCGTTCTTGGACTTTGAGCCTTGCTCCTGATTGTCCTTGCCGTGTCGAGTCTCTGCACGACAGTACTTCGCGAGCGGTTCGCTGCGGGCCAGCACTTGCTGACAAGATCCGAGTACCACTAGTACCAGCCTTCTGTGCTCAGCCAGTAGGTCCCCTAGGTATTGCCAAGCATCGCCCAGGCCAGGGCACAGGCGCCTGACCTCAAAGTCAATGGCATAGGCCAGGAATCCCGAAGCGACTCTGGCGGCCTCCGCCCCTGCCTCAGAGCCAAAACGACAGCTCAATCACTTGTTGTGCTTTTTCTTCTGCCGAGCCCGGCCTCGGAAGGCTTCAGCGTCCGCCTGAGAGGAAGAAAGCACATCTCAGACGCATCGTAGTCCCGCAGAGAAGGAAGGGAGAGACGGAAGAGGGCTATCGGCAAAGGGAGACCTCGCAGCAGCTTCGCTTGCAGCCAAGAAGCTGTTGAAGCTTCTCGGTCTGCGCAGATCGGTGCCGTACACCAGTCACACGAAGCCAGAGTCCGTCGAAATGGAGAGGTTCCCTGTCCTGAGACCCGGAATCCGGCGCTCGGCTGCAAGCTAGACTCGGACAGGCGAACAGTGTCACTCGCTTCAGTCAATCGAGGCAAAGAATCCGGCGGCCGAATAGCCAGGGCGGTTCCACTGGGGTCGGGGACGCTGGACACCTTCGATAAGAGCTGTAGGCTGCAAACAGTTTGGCATGGCTTCGCGATGAGATGTTATGACAGGGAGGATCCCGTTGGCCCCTCCCCGTCGCTGCCAGCTTCAGGCCTGGGGAAAACCATGATGGCTGGCTGGTGCTACGCAAAATCCAAGGTGGCTGGCCATTCAAGGGGCTTGGGTCGACTTCCTAGGGTGTTTTACCTGCCGGAGCATGCGTGCAACAGAAACACACATGCCAAATGTGTCAGCCGGTGCTCGCTCAGTTGACTCGTAGCCCGCATGTACGCACTGTGAGGTACGGCTGTCTGCCTCCAGGTTCTCTTCTTTCAGGTGGAAGTTCAAGGCTTCCAGAAACCTCGCGATGCTTCTCCTACAGATGCTTAGCTTCGTATTTGCAGCTTCCAGCCCAGGAGGCGCCAAGCCAAGCAACCAAGTTCGAATCTGCTGCTCTGCCACGGGTGGGCCGTACTCCGGCGGAGCTCTTCCACGCTGAATAATGTTGGTGTACCTCCGGATACAGCATCCGTCGACAGCGCAAAGCCAAGCCCCAGAGCACTACAGATATCAAACGCCATATACCAGAACTGCCAAGGGGCCCATCGAAGACTATGAAGTCGTCCAAGATGTCCTTAGATGTATCACTTCTCAAGCTCACAGAACAACTGCCGCAACAGTAACATGTAAACCAAACCGGTAACAACGAACCGGAACCGGGCAGGGTAGCATCCAGAAGGCATGGACCCTTGAACTCCAGGGCTCCACTTGGCTCTGAACAGAGGGACCAGCCAGAACCACCGGTGAATATTGAGGAATCAACGGGCTTACGCTGATCCTCCTGCAAACAGTTGCAGAAAGTGCCGTCTTTGGCTGGAGACAGCGTGATGACACCGCACTCCCATCCTGCATGGTCGCATGTGCTCTTCCAGCGGCCTGTTGCTGGAGCCTCCATGTGCAAGCGTCATGTCGCATTCCGTGCTCTCTCTCTGTGCAGCGTCGCAAGGAGACACTACATCAACGTGCCTAAATGGCAGCTGCTGGATCTGAAGAGCCTCTGAGCTGCAACTGATGTGCTCTCAGGCAATCAGGCGGTGACTTGTGGTTTTTTCATGTGCAAGCTGCTGGATTCCGATGTCGAAGTCAAACTCCCGAAAAAACGGCAGCCTTGGCCCAGCCATTCAGGGACGACCACAAGCCTGTGAGGCCCTAGCTTGGCATGTGAAAACGAGTTTTGCGTTTCGCCTGCCAGTGCAGCCGGGCAGCGTGGCAAACTTGCGCCTCACCGCCTGCGGTTTAAGCAGAACAACGGTTCACAGAGATCTCTCTCGCTGTGCTGTGACGGCTATAAGCAGAACTGTTTCGTGGCCTGGCTGTGGAACTTTCGAAGTGACGTAGACACACGCTTGAGCTCTTGGATTGCGTCGCGGGCATCATGCAAGATGACCTCTGCACTTGCACACCAGCAAGGCTGAAACAACAAACATGTGCGGAACAATGCTCGCCTTGTATGATGAGCGACCATAATTCCGACATTAAGGAGTGGCTTGCTACATGGTACAAAACCGTGGAAGGCATGCGAATCCAAAGCCTCCATCTCCACGGTGTACGAAGCCAGAGGAGTCTCAGACAAGATGTCCGACAGTCCTTTTAAGTGCAGGCTGGAACATCCTCGCATCATCTACACCGACGCCTCATGACTCTTCCACGTCGGTCCTCTTCTGCAGCCGTCTCCTTTCTCATCATCAGAAGAATCAGATGCAACCTGGCATTGAAGCTTTTTGCCGGAAACCGGGGGATCGGATCGCAGCCTTTGCTTCGAGCTCCAGTTTCTCCATGGCTTCTAAGAAGCCCGAGACCAGTCCGCTTCGCTGCTGACTTGCTGCCCGAAGCTGGACACATGTTATCACCTGCCGTAGATAACAGCACAAGCAGCCTCTGCAGCCTGCGCATCCTCTCTCAGATCCAGACGATGTCATCCTTCGCTATGCTACATGCCTGCATGTGCAGTGATCGACGCGAGCCCTCCAATCACAAACTGGGTGTCTTCGATGCAAGCGGCTTACTCAGACCAGTCCTGGTGCAAGGCTTCCGACAGCATCTCTGCTAATTGCATCGGCCAGCCGTGGCCACGGCAGTGGAAGCTGCCGACCTGGATACCAAGCTGCGCCCCCGATAAAGTTTGGTAACACAGATGCTTTGCAAGAAGACCTGCACCACACGCAATATCACTGAAGGACGAAAGCTTCTCTTACGGGCGTCTGGCAGTACGAGACAATGTGCAAAGACACCTTGCAGCGCAGGTCGAGGTGCGCCGCAACCTTTGGCCTGGGCGAGGGGTCTGGTGTGATTTTGCACCGCACATGCGCAGTCGGAAGCGATGCTCAGCGCACTCCTTGTCTGCAGAGGCGCTGGGCTTTCCAAGCATCGCCCACCGGCTTCTGCTCCGTCTTGCCGCTATGGTGATCGCACGTCTGGATTTCGCGTGAAACCTTTTTTGACATGGGCGGTGCCCACGTGAAACCATCTAGTGACATTCGTATCGCTTGCTACTTTCGGAGTGGGAGGGACGGATCATGCTATGCTGGTAACAGCTGCAGGCTGCACTTTGGTTTACCAAGCTGCGAAACCATTGATGAAGTACCTGACAATCTGCGGCACTCACAACCGTCAAGACACCCGGCACATTCACCAGTTCTCGTCAAGGCGCTGCTTGAAAAACGGCAGTTGTCCCCACCGGCGCAGCACTGCACTGCCTCGGTGACACGAATAGAAGCAAATGAAAGGTCGGGCTGCGAAAGTGCTTGAGAACAATTTTGCTAGCCAAGCAACTATGAAGACTGTGCACGCCTTCCATGATGGACTGGAGGTCTTCTTCATGAGCTACCTGGACTGCTATGATGTGGCCGTTGCTTGACAACACAAGAACCCCTGCCGCTGCCACCAAGCGCTAGACTTGTTTTGGCACAGGGCATCAAACACAAAACACGAGGGGCAATCGCAAACAGCAGTAGTATCAATACTGACAGTCGTAGCAAGAAAATAAGAACTAGTCAGGACAAAATGCCTGCTTTTGTCTGCTGACCCGGCCGAAAACACATACTTGAGTGCCAGCAAATACTGAGACCCGGCATTCGGCTACATAGCTACCATAATAACTCCATAAAAGTGCCAAGTTTACGCGTCATCTTTAGGGAACTGCCGGCTATAGTTGGAAGCCGATGATTCAAACAAACACCACTTCGGCATGATCTGCATATTGCAACTGGTGATGTTGCAGGCCACTTCTGTCTGCAACTGTCTTCAGCCGTGCCTTGAAGCTGGCAGTCGACTTCGAGATTACTGCTTGGCTTAGTAAAGACTGCTCGCCCAACTACGGCAACCAGCTCAATCAATAACTTTTAGCTGATGCCCTGTGACGCAGCTGGGGAAGTCGATCTCAAGCTTCACACTGTACACCAACCTGACTCGAGATGGTCAAGAGTCAAGATCTTTGCGAAAAGACACACATCGAGGACTCGCTTGTGTTCTGCTTTGCCAGCGCTACTCTTCCCTGCATCCAAATGGCGCCGCTGCCGCCTGCATCCTTGCAGCCCCTGCGCAGGCTCCATGCAAAGCACCCTCCACAAGTGTCAGGCATGCACTGCTTCGAGAAACGTGTATCGTGCACAGGCGTGCCAGGCTGTCGCTGCAGCTCGCTCCTTCATCAGCGATGACATGACAAGCAGCCGCACTTCAAGACGGTTTCAGTCTAGGCTAGCTACAAGTAGGCTAGTCAACGACAGGCAGCCTGTCCTCGGCATTGATGCAACGTTCAGGATACTTAGGCGGGCGGGCTCGATGCCAGTGACAACGTGCAGGCAGTCCTATGTTGAGACACAGTCACAGGACCGAGGAAACCACTCAAAAAGATTTCAAGCAGCGCAGTCCGCCAGCAAGGTCGCCAAGTGGGTGGCGCCGTTACCTGAGGATTTCACCATTGGCTGTCAGGGAACGCCGGCCGTTGGCCCTCTGCATGGTAAGTCAACGCATGCGCATGAGTCGAGCCACGCTTTATGGCCCCGAGTCGATCAACCACCTCGAGCTCCGCCCAAATCATGAAGTCCATGAAGCCTTGATGGCCCCTCAGCGCCATTGCACGACACGAAAAGCCGAGTTTTCCCAAGGTCCACTGTTTCCTCCTCCTCCTACTCCTCCTCCTCCTCCTGAGCCTGCATGAACCCACTGAGACAAGCTTCTCTAAGTGACTTCAGCTTCATAGCAGGAATGAATACTCACTGTCATTATATGTTCTGAACATGCAGCAGCACCGACTGAGCCTCCTGTTGCAAGCCTGCTGCCGGGAAGGTGGGGTTTGCTCTGCTGAAGGTGCCACCGAGGCACTCGCTGGAAAGAAGTTGCCACGAGTGGCACTCGCCCATAACGGCAGTAGGGGTGTGCGCGCAAACTCGAGCTGGTCGCTTCACGGTCACGCCCCTTGCCATGCCGTCCAGGTTGCTGGAAAGGCCCTAACTCAATCGCAACCTCTGATAGAGTCGGGGTGCCTGAAGATGGCATCGTTCACATCCTTGCAACTCTTCTGTCCAGCCATGATGAGGTACAAACCCGGAAAGAGTCGAATGAAGAGTGGTGCAAAACCATCAGCTAGTTTTGAATCTGATGCTGCTTCTTGGTCACGACAGCAGTCCATTCGTGAAGGCCTCTCTGATGAAGAGCCCATAGGAGTTGCTGAATTGTACCTCGTCAAATCGGACTCAGTAGCTGAACACCAGGCGGAATGGAGACTCAGCATCTCATGCTGATTTCGGGAGACAAGGATAGGTTGATGCGGTTACAGCGATCGAGGGGTTCACGCGATTCCGTAGAACAGGGGGCCAGCACCTGGAAGTCCATGGTATATTCCTTGGGCTCATCGGCTCACGGACTTGCTGGTGCATCTCACACCTGGCAGCCCCACAAAAAAATGACAGCAGCCAAGCTTCTCGTGTCTTCAGCTGCCACATTTGCACGCATGGAAACTCCAAACTCGTCAAGCGGAAGTGCGACGCAATCTTCTTCAGGATGCACAGGAATTCTGATGTGCAGCGGTGTCCTTGCATGGAAGGTGCGATCTCCGTCGCAAGCGTCTCCGAACACATGCGGACCCACTCAAGAACTCTGTTGTAACCAGTGCTCGCAAAGCACCTAGAGTCGACCTAGAGGGTGCTCTAGCTTCGCACTTGTATTCTGGCCTCCTTGCTGATGGAGCCAACCGCTCTCATCCGTGATATCCAGGTGGCAGCGGAGGGTGGACTTGCCACCTTGGCTTTTATGGCTTTCTACACATGTGCCGGAGATGTCAAGAACTGCTTCTGCAGACCGGTGGACGTGCGATGGGCCCCGATGCAAGATGATAAACGGCAGACTCAATGACCTTTGATGGCAGGGCCGTCGGACTGGGCATGGCGTGGCATAGCTTGCAGATTCCTTGAACATCCTAGTACTCTCCTAGGGCAGCCGAGGTCGCCACTGGGCCAGGAAGAGGCAAGGGCAGAGGGGAAGAACCTGTTTTGAACTGCCACCGAGGCTCAGCTCTCATAAAGATTCGTAGTAGACTCACGAAAGAGTCGCGGTTTTTCTTCCAGCGACTTCCATCTTTTGGGGCGTTCATCTTTTTGCCTTTTTTTCGAGCCTGTGAATCCGTGACGGGCCTGAGCGAGCTTCGAAGAACTCAACGAGATCAGCTTGGAGCGTTCGCAGGTCCTGATTGTCGAATGCAGACATGCCAGCCCGCTTCACAGATGAGTCCGCGGATGGGCATGCCGCCACTTTTCAGGCGCCATGCTACACTGTGTCCTCCAGCGTCGGTGCCTCTCTTGGACGGAGGTTGAAGTAAAGGCGCCGGGTACCAGCGATGCTCTGCAGCACCTGCAGTCTGTGAAATCTTTGTGCCAAGCTGAAGCTCGTCGCTTCCGTGTCTGACCAAAGCAGGACGCAACAAATCGGGCGCTCATCATGTGCATCGAATTTCCCACAAGATTCGAAGGTCACTGATGGCATCGATGGGATTGAGCAACAGGAGATCATGATTTTTGAGACACGATAGAGCCGTAGACTTCAAGCACGTTCCAAACATTCGGAATCAGGATTCGCTCTACAGCAGCCTTTGTTGCAGGCGAAATCCTAAAGGTTAGAGAGCGAAGTGACGAGGCTGAGAGCTGCTAAAGACTTCGTCGGAGGAACGTGCAGCGTTTCTCGAGCTCCCATGTTCCAGAATCTCCGAGCCTGCACTTGATCTATCAGTCCCAGATCTGATAGATGGGCCAAGACCTCGTGGACACGGTCCTCGGGTGACGTCGGCTCCAGTCCAAGAAGGGCCACACCGACAAGATCTCCGGCGGATGGAGCCAAGATTCAGAGTACGCGCAGCCCGTGCCCATGTCTGCCGCAAACTCCTGGATGTCCTCGCAGAAATAACTGCCCAGTCGCTCACACTGGAGGCAAACTGCAAGGGAGCCGCCATGTGTGCCGTGAGATGGGAGCAGCTGAAGCAGCCCGCCAGCCTGCCAACCAAGAAATCTACAGTTACAGACATGAGATTAAGACAAAACTATCAGGCTGGTAAAGCCAAGCAGCGACGTTGACGCTGGCCCTCCCAGGTTGTCGATGCAGCATGTGGTGCTCACTTGGATGCCACCTGTTGGTGTCCGGAGTTTAGCCTGGCCCTCCCTCATGGCCAAACGGACCACTGCGACTCGCTCATTAGACATTCTTTTCCGTGTAAAAACCAGTTTTTTGGCACGGGGCCGTTGGCAGGGAACTTGTCAAAGAATTCCCTGGAGCTGCAGGCTGTCTTGATCGAAAGCCTGTAGTTTGACTTCTTTCAAATTTGGGCAGCTGTGATCTTGGATAATTATGCACGCCTTCTGCACGGGTTTCAGGAAGCTCTGCCAGCCGAGGGTCAGTCTCTGTTGCACGGCACGCAGTTTTTGAATTGTCGTCTCCGCTGGGCGAATCTCTGCCTGACAGTGCACTCCATCTGCCCGGAGACAGTAAGGCGTCCCAACGACGACTTCCTCCTGCCTTCAGCATCACGGCCTCGACTTCATCCTGGATGAAACCCATTGCCTCATGACCCAAACACTCAGGCTTAGTGCCTGAATGGTGTGACAATCAGGTGAGCACGCGCACATTACGGCCATGCTTGACAACATTGCATCGGGCCAACCAGTCACTTTGAGCATTTCCGTTGTAGCCTGCCTGCACATGAATGTCTTTCGGGTCATAGCCGGTGAAGACAGACAACATGTGTTGAAAGTCTTTGCAAGGTCCTCCAAGGATTCTTGAGCCTGATATTCATGCAGTGTGACACGGAAACGTCTTGACAAGTCCGTAGTCACGCTCCTTCCGGAGTCGTCACGAGAAGGCCGCGCTTGTCCAGCACGTCGCAGTAGAGGTAGAGAGCAGCTTCCGTCTGCAAATAGCTGTTGGCCTTTATCGACACTCTCGTACAGTCGAGGAATGAATTCGCCAATTACTAGAAAAGCACCACCAGCTTGTGCGAAGGGAAGAAGTTACACATCCACAACATGCAGAACCACCTAGCTCTCATAATAGAAATCACACAAAACCGGTACCTTGCAAGAGCACAAGCTACACCGACACACCAGTGTTCCATGAAGCGGCATAAGCTAGACTCCAATCATGAAGCTATAGGCTATGGGCCAAGGCCTTGTGTGACTAAGCGAGCTTGTTACGACAAGAGTCGTCCAGCTTCGGCGCTTGCACTGTGTCTGTGCAGATGTGCACCTGCAGGAAGGTGCAGCGAGTCAGATAGGCGTTCCTATCTTACAACACCACATGCTAACCAGTGCAGAGCATTTCAGAGCAGGAGTTGCATTTGCCTGCTCAGCTGCTTGAAAACAGTTGAAGAGATTGATATTGAACATACCAGGGTAAACTGTCTGGCATATCCGCTGATCCGGCATGTACGTCGGCGTGAGGGGCTGGTGTACCTGTGCCACAGACTGCAGTGCAGTGCAGTCAGTGCAGTGACGAGCCCACCACACGCGTCAGTTGGCCCAGGCCCCCAGGCCTGTAGCTTCTCTGCGCTTGACGCCGAGGCCTGGCTTAGAGAAATGGAGGACCTTTGAGTTGACTTTGGCAGCGAGATCGCGACTTTTCAGTGGCGTCGGCTCCAAGTGGTGCAGTGGAGTGGCAACGAGGAACAGCTCCAAGATGCAGGCAAGCTGCAGGCTCAAGATTTTCCGACAGCCGATCCGTAAACCCAATCTCTGGCTGCTCGACGACAGTGCCAGCCTCGAACTCCACAACGTGGATATGCAGAGAGAGAGAGAGTGTGTGTGTGTGTGTGTGAGTCGGCACATCTCTATCAAGCGACATGGCAGTCGGTTCGATGGCTTCCAGATCGCGAGGCGCCGTCCTTTCAAAAGGCATTCATCATTGCTAGTAGCGAGCTGTCTAATGCAGAGATCATGGAAGCTCCAGCTGGTGGTGGTGGAAATGCTCTGCATCCGAAATGGAGCTAGACTCACGACGCACAATATTGTACTGTCGCCCGTCTTGGACTGTATCGCAATGTATCGCAGGCTCTCAGCAGCTTTCGCACCTCGAGAGCGGCCGATTCCCGATCTTCCAATCTGCTTCCCTCGGAGAGACCATCAGAGACTAATTCAATCACTGATGCAATCCCACTTCGTGCAGGCTGCTTACATTGCAACAGCCTTCGCAGCTCCAGTATAAGTGGCAAGCGGTTGGACTGCTTTCTCGGCGCACGTGTTCGTGAGCCTGCTTCCTTCAGCCGTCGCGAAGCGTCACGCGCGTATTGTTCAGGAAAACAAGGTCTGTGCTAAACGGCGTAAGCCAAAAACTACTACAGAGGTGCATACGCCCTTTTTGGTCGAAGCGCAGGAAATGCGCCCGGCCAGGCGTACCGTCGCAAAATCCGGTGCCGGTGCCGGGGTGCGCAATTCTGCGCCCGCCCCGGGCACCGTCCGGTGGACGGTC